GCCAAGAAACCGCCTCCTGGCTCCGCCATGGAGAACGTCGCCACTATCGAGAACCAGCCCGTTCAAATACCCATCGTCACGTGCGACTTTGCCAGCGACGTCAGCACCTCCGAGGCGGACCCCGGAGGGGGGAGCAGTATCCCCATGGAGGAGAAGGACACGCTCAAGGTTCACAATCACTCTATTGCTTTGCTTCTTCTTTCGAAAACTTCATCAAAATTCGATTTTAAAAACAAAAGAGAGAAGTCCATGTGTCTTCTCTTCGAGAAGAATAAAAATATCTAGTGTAAGGACGATTCGGATAATTTTCGATATATTCTCGTACAACGAGGAGGGTGAAAGCGTAATGCCAGCTACACTTGCGGGGAGGAATGAAAATGTTTCCTTCTCGTGCACTGTTACTTCGTATTTCACAAGTGGAATGCGATATCGTCGAACAAATATTATTCCTCGTTATCCGAGAATACGGAGAAAAATTCGTTGGAGCAAGTTGTTCGTATTCCCGAATATTTATATCTTATTTTTCCTCTCAATTTTCCTCATCCATTCCGTAACGTCAAACATCTTTCCAGGCCTTTCCTCTACCCTAAGTGGTAGCAGATTCTCAAGCCTTGGAGACACGCGAGACACCTGTCTCCGCGCTCGTATCCCGAGTGCACTTACCCAATAACTTCAGTCTCGTGGCGGGAATCTGAATAGATCCGGTTTGACGTTACAGTCACGAACGTCCTCCTCGAGATCCTCGTGCACAGCGTAAAAGCGGAGTCCGTAAATCTGAGAAATTCGCTGTTGGATTTCGGTTTCGTCGTGTACCGATCCCTTAGAATCGATATCCTCTTTTTTCCTTTATCGTTGCTGCGTAAATTCGAACTCATCGGATTCGTAAATCGAAGATATCCCTTACATTCGTAGATATTATTGAAGATACTTATAGGATGTTTACAATCTCGATTATTTTAATTACTAGTTGAACGAATTCAGCGTATAATCGTTCTTTGGGAAAAATTGGAAAAATTCACTTTTCTTCAGTATATAGAAATTACTTTAAAGATTCTTTAACATCTTCTTAACGTCTCGCGAGAGAAGACTTATTCGATCTTAAATCTAAGGCTTGATTTCTTCTGATTCATCGACTGACCCGTCTCGTCGACCAATTAACCCCAATTCCAAAACGTTCTCAATAATTTCCCTCTCCCCTTTCGGATTCTCTCCTCTACTCCACCACGAACGATTTATCATCGTTCTTTCAAATGGTGCGAATCTGTTGGACAGGTGACGATGCCGGTTCCGGTGCAAAAGAGCAGCCTGAAGGCGACGCTGTCCGTGAACGGTGACGGGCAGTCGAGCGTCCCGTCCCGATGCAGGGCGCCCAGCGTCGGTATCGACGTCGACATGGTGTCCGAGTTCGATCCGTCGTCGTCGGACAGCGGCGTCGTTTCGAGATGCGCGGTCGTGAAGCCGCTCAAGCTTCGCCTCTGCCAGCCCATTTTCGGGCGCAGGAACATCGGCAAGCTGAGGAGGGAGCACGGGGGGGACGGGGGGCGGGCGTCCGGCAAG